GATGACTTGTCGAAAAGGCTGGAGAATATCTACGAAGATTACAAGGGAAAGATGCAAGCGAAGTTGATCGACGTGCCAAGCGATTATGGAACGAAGGTAACAAGAATGTTACAAGAGACGCGCGATCATGACCAGGTTTTGCGCGAAAGCATGAACATATTCGATCAAGACCTGCAGAACTTCTACGGCGAGTTAGAGGTTAAGGGAAAGGATATCAAGATACTGAAAGACGAATGGGAACTTTTGGTTTCAATCAAGAAGGAAGTCCTTACAAAAGAATAAGAGCTGGAAAAACTTCACAAGGACACGCTGGAGTTAGAGAAGCAACGAGAAGGTTGGGAGATGTCTCAGATAGCGACGGCAGCTTAGGCAATAGCATATGGAGCTGCTATTCCACCTGTGCTTCTGTTTTCCTTTGATTACAGAAGTATATGGAAATGTGAAAGCCGTTCTGCCAGGCTGGGGCTCACATTCGCCCGATATATGCACGAACCGCCCTACCATCGACAGTTGGGACAAGAAGAATCAAGAAAAGGCGGAGCAAGGTGAACAGAAAAAGCCTGATCCCAAGTGTGGAAGTGAAAAGATGAAGCCGAAGAAGCCAACGATCGTAACGGTTGTTGATGATGATGATGAAAATAGAAACATTGGAGCCGGCAGCTCCCAAGAGCACAAGACGAAGGAGATGTTAAAGAGAAAGAGAAGAAAGCAAAGAAGAAGAAGTATGGGAAGAAGAAGGAAAAGAAAGGAACGAAAAGAGCTTCCGAAAGTGCGGGTGAAGAGCAACCGCAAAAGAAGAGGAACCCGGGCGATGATGATTCTGACAACGTGCGATGAGGGTAAAAGACCCAGCAGGAGTTTCACGTAGAAAGCTGAAAGCTCTTTGTGAGAAAGGAGACAGCACAAGCAGCTGTATAAACAATGCTTTGATGAAAGATGGAAAAGGAAAGAGAGCGCAAGCAGCTGTATAAACAACGCTCAAAAGAACGCCAAACCCTGAGGGCGTGAGAAGAGCTGTTGACGACATTTACGGCTATAAGCCACACGTCAAAGTACTACGATTTCTTTTGTGCTTAAAAGAATGGGAGCCGCGTAAAAGGCACCGCGCTAAGAAGCACAACGCAAATGCGTTAAACGCAAGGTCGAAAGACTGATATGAGGGGAAAAGTTCCTACGACCCGAACCGCGACCTAGCGATGCATGAAAAGTGAGTGCGTCTTAGCATTAGGTTGCATGTGCAGTTTCGGAAGCGTCAATTCCGGAACGGTATGTTTCACGCCACGATTTTTCAGGACATCCACAAAGAAGAGGATGAACATCAAGGAAGATGAAGATGCTTATAAGAAGCGTGTGATAAAGGTGAAGGCTCGAAAGAGCATGCGAGAAATGAAGTGGATGGTAGAAGAATGCTTGAAGATCGGATCAAGTTGCAAACCGCAACCTGAGTCGATGAGGGCGTAACAAACATGTCAATTTGATGTGTATGCCCAATGTAGCATGTTCACTGCGTATTTTCCGCAGGTCGTACCACGGCTCAAGATAAGTGCGTCAGCTGGAAAATAGAGAGAAGCACCTGTGTTTTTTCCAAGTGATTAAGAAGTGACGTTGGTAAAAGGTTTTCAACTTTCACCTCGGCAAACAGTCTCTGCCCTTTGCACTGGCAAGCTTCAGCAACCTCAACCTGCATTGGCCACTCATTTATGGCCTTGTTTCACGCGTAAGAAAGCTGCCTCAGCGAACACACCCTTTGAATCAAAGACGAAAGCATCAACTTTTCACTCGTCTTCTCACAACGCCTAGCTTGGGGGGTTCTTTTGCCTATGCGTGGCCTTCAGGATGTTAGGCACCCTCTGGCTAGCCGCATAGCCTACAGATCCAACACGATGAAAAATAGAGAGCGATGTGTTAGAGCAGTACAAGCCGCCTACTTAGAACGAGCGAGGCTTCTTGAGGCGCTCTCTGCTAAAACAGAAATTCTTGGTTTACCATGCGCAACTTGAGGGGGACTCTCTTTTGTTGTTGCGGGATGAGGTGAAGGATTTAGTTTGTTTTCGAAAGATGAGGGGAGGACTTGATTTCTGTGTTGAAGGGAGGAAGGGAGCTCCGCCTTTTCTTTTTAATCAGCTTGCATTCTCTTTCATCCTTCGAAAAGGGAGGAGATAGCCATCGGAGGCTGGGCTGGGCTGGGTCGGGCTGGGTGTGGGGCTGGGCGCGGGGGCTGGGCTAGGTGGTTGCGCTAGTCAGGCTCGGGCTAGAGTGACAAGCCCCCCCCCGCCATCCCAGAAAGGTGGCTTCGGAACGGGATTAAAGCCCTCTTCGAGAAGCCCCTCTTTCTCTAGCACCCCTTCGCCGAACTATGGTGGAGCATGCCCCACGCTCTCGGGGTTTCAGACGGTCAACTTGCACAAGCCAACCTGACCCAGTCGCTGCCCGTTGCAATGCACAAGCCAACACCCTGCCCGCCTGATTTTCTGTGCGTTTGAGCCGCTGCACATTGCCTGCTACGTATTTTTTCGCGCATCGATGTTGCATCGATATCAAGCATTGCGGTTGTCGGCATTGCGACGGATTGTGGTGCGTGAGTGTCACGTATGGTCGCGACATTAAGAAGCTTTCTTGCAGGCTGGCAAAGGCCCTTGCGCTGAGCTGCGTAGGAGCCTTGGGTAAAGCCAGGTTTTTTGGCTTCCGCAGGTTGAACTGAAGGCTCAGGGCTTCGGGCTTCAGATAAAGAGGACCCCTACATTTCGAATCTTTCCAACCCGACAGCCTAGAAGACCCGAGACCCCAAAACCAGATGTTTGCTAGGCGAATTGGGCTAAATCCCGAAAGCAGTAACCACGCTTGCCTCCGGCCCAGAGCAACATCATCGACATCTGCCGCATCCTCGTCGAGCAACATCTACGAAAACAGCACCATTGCTTTGCTGTGAAAGCGTGTTGGATAAGTTGCTTCATGATTTCATGGCATGCAACATCACGGGCAGGGAAATCCACATTCCTAAAAGATCGTGCCGACCCAGAATGATGAACGAAGCTTTTTGAGAGATTCCACATATCCTCGAAGAATTATTGAAGCAATCTGGGGAGGGCTATCCTGCCATGGTCGACGTCCGCGGAAAGCGCCCGCCGGCAAGGGTCTTGCGTGTCAGATTGCTGTGCTACTTAGTGCTGCTGGGTTTTGATTGACGCCCTTGTTCTCAGAAGGATTAGATTGGGGATCCTACTGCTGTATCGAATGCCTTAAATGCCATGCCGCCCCAAGAAACAAAGCAAACTCCTCAAAGCCCAAGGCTTTAAACCGCTGGGGCCCTAAACGCGAAGCCAACAAATACCGTAACCTTTTTGTGGAACGTTTCGCTTCGAGGTGGGGGCTGGCCGCGTGCTCGGAGAGGAGCGACTGCACCGAGCCGACGAGGCCCCGTCAAGGGGGGATACAGGATATGTGTATATTATCACGGATTTCAGACATGGGAAGCGCTGGGGCTTTCGGGTGGGAGGGGGGGAATACCATGTCCAGTTTCGGAATATCGAAGATGAGGAAGAGAAGGAACATGAAAGCAGCAGTCACTATCATGTTGTTAGCATTACTGGCAAGGATCGTGGTCACTGCCTGCAATTGACGGTTGTCTTCAATTTGCCGACCGGCTGTTCTAAGCAGCATGGTTTGCATTATCATCATAGACCCGTGAAGAGTGTTCCCCATGAAGGAGATTCGTCGCAACACTCGCAACGCCCCGAAACCACAGCAAGGAATCCCGACGCACCAAGACTGTTGTTTTGGCCTTAGGGTTGGGTTGAAGCAGATTTAGGGTTAGAGGTGCCGCTGCAAGCAAGACGAAAGAGAAGGCGCATCGCAAGACCACAAGACATGTCCTAGGAGAAAGCATAACAGCACCCTGTTCTCCCTGTTGTAGAAGTGGGTCTGGGCGTCGGGGTATCCGACATGAGAGGCTCCTTTGCTGGTTCTCCAGTGTTGGAAGTCAGACCAGCAGCGAGCGAGGAGTCGCTGCGCGAGGATTTGGCGCGGCTGAGGAGCCAGTCCCCGGCCCGGAGAGCCGGGAGTTGTGACCAGGAGAGAGAGATCCCGAAAGAAAGTACGGACCTTGAGACATCTGCCAGAGGCCTTCTTTTTCGTGCAGGGCGAGTCTAGTTGCAAGACGTGAAAGGTATGCCGCCGTCAGACGCGAGGGTGCTGAGGTGCGATGGGGGCTGTTGCCGGGCTGTCAACTTGTCAGGCAACTGCTGCAGACAGGGACTGCAGACCACAGGGGCCTTTTTCAATAGAGATTTTTCATTCGCTTTTTGTTTTCAAGCTTTGCAGCTTGCCCTTTTCTGTTTGCCTATGCATTGCGGAAGACTGTGGTCCACCAGCGCCCGAAAGGATAGAACTGCTTCGAGATGGGATTCACAGGAAAGCTGTTAAGGGTTGTGGAGCCCTTGGTGTTTCTGTGGCGGAGACTCGGAAGACGTCTGAGCTCAGGTGCGGGAGCTCCTTCGCAGCGCCGAGCGCGACAGCATGCGCAAGGACAAGCTGCTGCAGGAGCGGTTTCTGCCCGGCTTCTGTTGGCCATGTGCTCATAGCTTTTCAAAAAGAGTTGAGGTGGCCCTACCACAGCTACAATTACGGTGGTTGATTGGAGATGGAGTCCTTCGCTGCTAGAAGATTGGGGTTCGTCGAAGATTTAAAACGGGAGAGTCACTAGCATTAAGTACAGTTTGCAAATGTTTGCAACCATCCCAAACTCTCGGAAGGAGCTCCTCTCCGCGGCCAAGGCACAGAAGGGCGAGAGCGCTGCCTTGGACTTTTTTATGAGATTCGTCACTTCGGCCCGGGACCGGGACAGTGTTTCAGGATCTCTCTCGCGCACAACTGGCACCCCCGCCTTAGCAGCTAAACTTTCTAAACAGTTCCAGCATGGGAAGCCACCCCAAGGGTACTTATACTCCTGAGATGCACATGCTAAGCTCATATAAGCTTCCATGAGTGAGTGAAGAGCTCCCATGGCCGGCTACGACATCGAAGAGGGAGCTCTCTTACGGACGTGTCAGAGCAAGGAGTCCGTGACCTCGGTGAACAGGTCATGCAGCCATTGCTCCGTGACCACCGTTCCCGCAGTTCCCGGAGCTGGGGTCGTCGTCTACGACACGCCTTCCTTCGTTCAGGGCGCCCAGCGTAGCCAGCCCCTGGTAAATCCCATCCACACCTCGGTCTTCGAACTGCTTAAGATCGGCATCGGGCCCTCAAGCAGCCACACCGTGGGCCCGATGCTGGCCTGCCGGAACTTCGCCAAGCGCTTGGTGAAAAATCCGCCGCTGCTTTCCGAGGTCGCCTCGATCACCGTGGAGCTCCGCGGCTCCCTGGCTCTCACGGGCATCGGCCACGGCACCAACAAGGCCTGCGTTTTGGGGCTCCATGGCGTGGCGCCTGCTGAAGTGGACCCGGCCACCATTGAGCCCTTCCTGGCAGAGGTCAAGGAATCCGGCAAGCTCATGCTGGGCTTTCGCGGGGAGTTCAAGGAGATCTGCTTTGTCGAAGAGGAGGATATCCTGCTTGTGGCAGAAGAACTGCCGCTGCATCCAAACGCGATGATCTGTCGAGCGCTTGCCAACGATTTCTCTTGCGTGCTTGAAACTCGCTACTACTCCACCGGAGGAGGCTTCATCCTTAGCGAAGAGGAGATGTTGGCAGCGGAGGGAGCGGGAAGCGCGGGGAGTGCTGGAGGGGATGCTGCCGCAGCGCTGCCGCCCCTGCCTTTGCCGTTCCGCAGCATGACAGACTTGCTGGACATCTGCCGCGCCCACAGCTTGGACATCGCCAGCGTCGTGCGACGAAACGAGGAGGCGCGCCGCTCTCCAGCACAGGTGGCGGAGGGTTTGCAGGAGCTTTGGGCCGTGATGGAGCAATGCATTGAGAGGGGCCTGGAGAAGGAGAAGGCCAACGAGGCCCTGCCAGGGCCGCTGCAGATGCGGCGTCGGGCACCTTCGCTTTATCAGCTGGCCTTGGAGGAGCAGCGGCAGCGCCCGGAGGAGTCCGGAAAGGCTATGGCCGTAATGGACGAGCTGCGATGGCTAAATTGCTATGCTTTGGCTGTGATGGAGGAAAACGCCACGATGGGCCGGCTGGTCACAGCGCCGACCAATGGTGCCGCTGGCGTTGTGCCGGCGGTGCTGGCGTATTACATGAGGCACCTGCGAGCAGCGCAGGCGGAGGAAGACAGGAAGGATCCCTCCACGTACCTTCTCACGGCGGCTGTTATTGGCATCCTTGCCAAGGAGCGGGCGGTGATCTCTGGAGCTGCGGGTGGCTGCCAAGCAGAGGTGGGAACTGCCACGGCCATGGCGGCTGCAGGTTTGTGTGCCGTGCTCGGAGGCAGTCCTGAGCAGGTGGAAACTGCCGCGACGGTGGCTTTAGAGCACAGTTTGGGCATGACCTGCGACCCAGTGCTCGGGCTTGTGCAGGCTCCGTGCATCGAGCGGAACTCCATGGGTGCGACGAAGGCGGTGAATGCCGTGGCTTTGGTCTTAGCTTCCGCTGCCTCGCCCTCGCCCTGGCTAAGCTTGGACGGCGTCCTTCGGGTGATGAAAGAGACGGGCGCGGCCATGGATCGACGATACCGTGAGACGGCGCTCGGTGGCTTGGCGGCGGACTACGAGCGCAGCCTTGGCGCCACGCCAAAGCTGCAGGAGAAGGTGAAAGCGACGATGGGCTTCAGCCGAATTCAGACCGGGACTCACAAGCAGCTGCGAAGGCAAGTGACCTACGAGGACTTAGAAAGGGATCTGATCACAAGACGCATTTCCTCGCAGTCGATGTCCAAGTGCTAGACTTCTCGGGCGAGAAAGACGGCCAAAGAGCCGTTTCTGCTCAAAGAGCTCAGGGGGCGCTCGCCTGAGCGTGGGTCGGTCCTGGCTGCGTCAGCAGCGCAGAGTGAGCCCGCCGGGACTTGGGGCTTTGAAACCTCCAAATGACAATGCTTGGCAAACTCGAACAGTTTGAAGTTGCTGTTTGGGACACCAATAGCCAGACTGCCCCATTCCCTGAGAACCCAGGGCAGTGTCCGAGAGCCTCACAGTAAACGCAAGAGTTTTTGGCAGCCGTGCAGGGCGGCCCGGGCGTGCTGGGCGAGGTCTTGGACCATCTGAAGGAGGACCTGCAGGTGCGCCGCGGACGACAGCTGTGCGCCTCCTTCACATGAACGCTCTGCTATGCTCTGCTTGGGAGGCCCTCCTACGGGCGAAGCGCACGGCGCACGAGGTCCGGCAGCAGCTCGATGCACCTCGGCCGGCACAGACAGCAGCTGCTTAAGCCCTTCTAAGCCGCAAGCAGCCGCAAGCGCCGCTATAAGCCTTTGGCGGACTTCTGGCGCGGCGGTCCGCCGAGAACTGAGGAGAAGGAGGCGAAGATCGCAGCCATCCAGCAGGAGCCCTGTGGCAGTGATTGCGCGGATTGCGCCTGTTGCGCCTGGCGGCTGCTGGCTCTCTCTCTCTCTCTTCTCTTCTTGCTGCCGGCTTCGGCCTCGCTCGCGGCCTCCGCGGCCGGGGGGCCTTCCGCTGCCCTGCCCGCTGCAGAGGAGCTGCGGTCCACGAACCTCGCGGAGCTCCAGGCCAGGCCCACGGAAACGGCTGGAGAGCGCGCGCTTCTTCTCGCGGCCCGGCCCGGCACCAGGCCGCAGTGGCCCTTGCCAAGGCGGAAGCCAAGGAGAAGGCACAGCAGTGGCACGGCAGTGCTGAAGCGGGGTCGAAGCGGGGTCGAAGCGTGGTAGCCGCGTGGCATCCGCTGGGCTGTGAGGCGGAGGAGTGGGTCAAGGTGAATGCTGGCGGGGCTCCCGCCGCGGGCGTTTTCAAGCCTCCGCTTCCCCTTTGTGTCGTGTCGAGGAATGGAGGACCCGCCCTGCTACGCGGAAGCGACGCGCCTGCAGAGGGACTGCCAGGCTTGCGGACATTGGGCTACAGGTTCATGCCAGGCTGTTGATTGCTGAGCATGACATAGTGCTTGGATTGTGTCTGCAAGGGTCAGTCGTCGGGAACGCAGCTCTGTCGCAACAGGAGATTTGCCAGCAGATCCTTGATGCCGAGAACGAGACGACCTTCGTTCAGCGACAGCTCGTGCAACTTCAGGCGGATGTGGGGATGACCGCCGAGAACATGGATTTGAGGGCGTATCTCTGATTCTAAGACTTCTAGAACTCACTGGGCAAGAGAGGCGAGCGATCTTTTCGACAGCCCGAACGAGAACGGTGGCTTTCCAAGCACAGGACGAGCGCAGCTCCCTGGACGCCTCGGCGCAGCAGCATGAGCAGCAGGCCCATGAGGGGGTTTCGCTGTAGGAGGCAGCAGCTTAGCAGCTTCTGAAGCTATGGGAAAGCCTTGAGTCCTTGAACATCCTTGAACTTGAACCCTCTTGAACAGTCTCCGGTGTTGAGTTGGAACATGGAGCCCTGAGCGCCAGGCGCTGTCCTTGAAGGACCCGCACCGAGAGCGTTTCTAGGTCCGTTGTGTTGGTCGAAGGTCGGGTTACAAGTTGGGGTCTTCAGCGGTCGAGGAGTCATGTCTCATGTCGTTTGGACTTGGAGTGCAGGAGAAGCGCGAAGAGATCGAGCGGCAGAAGGCGGGCTCCGGGGGCTCGAAGGGTCTTTTTGGCCGGAGCACCTGGAGCTATACGCAGACGAGCCAGGAGCAGTGCGAGCGCTCCTTGGGGAACTTGAGCGACTTGGAGGCGGAGCTTCGGGAGAAGCAGGAGGCAGGGTCCGGCGGGGTCCGGGAACCTTCAATCTGGGTTCTTTCTCTCTCGGCTGGCAAGCTTCATGCCGTCGAGGCCATGGAAGATAGCTCAGTGCGTAAACCCCCCTGCTTTGCGCGAGCCTGTGTCCGAAAGCACCCCCTGCTCCCTGCTGTCAGAGCCGCGACGCGTCGGCCCAGCGCCTGGCGGAGGCGCAGGCGAGCAAAGCGCCGCGAGGCGAGGCACCGCGGCACCGCGTGCAGTAGCTGCCGTTGCTGCTGTAGCCGTTGAGCTCTGCCAGATCAGCGGGCAGCGCCCGTTGCCAATAGTGCTGTGATCCACATAGAGCCAGAAAGTCGGTGCCTGAGTCGGATCTGCCCGAAGTCGGAGGTAAGCTTCATTGTTCAGCGCGGCACACAAATTAAGTCTTGCTGGAACACAAACCAAACGTATACTTATATGATATGATTAGGCAAGGAAGGCCTCAAAGAGAGGGATGGTGCTGCAAGCTGCGCCGACTCGACGCTGCAAGAAATGCATCTGCAGGGCAAGAAGCAAAGAAAGAAGACGTGGCAGTGGGAGAGGGAGGGGGGAGTCCTCACTTGTGGGACGCACGCCCAACCTCCTAAGCGATCCTCCTCTCAGCCGAAGCAATGAAGTATAACCGACGCTGAGGTTATGTTTACTTTGATTAGTTGTCGATTGGGGGTTAAAACAGTGAAAACAGTGCATCTCTTAAAGGGTTGGGGTTGAGGGTTGAGGGGGTTAGGGTTAAGGGTTTCAGTTTTTCAGGGCTTAGGGCTTAAGGTTGTAGGGTTTAGGGTGTAACGGGGCTGAGGGTTTTGAGTTTAGGGGACTAAGGGCTACACTGAAGTGCTCAAGGAGGGATTCGGGATAGGTTGTAAGAGTTCATATAGAATGATTTAGGGCTGCCAGTGGCAGCGACCACCAGCCGGGGGACGGCAACAGCTGTTGTGGCTGGCAGCCGTTGCAGGCTGGGCCTGCGGATGGGAGAGGAACTGGGGAGTTTGGTTGCTGCGTTTAGGTTTACTGGTTTAAGGCTGTGTTCTGGTGAGGTAACATGCTTGCCTGCCACCTATATGTAGCTGTGGCGCTTGCGCAGCATCTTCAGACCTGTCGTGCCTGTTGTCGCCTCGGGAGACTGTGCCATGGGGTGATGGAGACAAAGATGGAGAAAAGGGAGAACTGGAGATTTAGCAACATGGTTTGTTAAGTACTCGGACACTGCCAGGCCCAGCAAGCCCTGACAACTCCCTGCTTGGAGGGTATCGTTCTGTGGGCCCAAAGGAGGGCCTCGAAAAGTCTCGAAATCTGGAGATTGCGAGACCTCTGAAACTAGGCCTTCTAAATAATTAGCTGCACTGCCTTGCAATACTCTCAATGTGCCCTGTCTGATTTGGTTTCGAGAACAATCTTACATCCCCAACATGGTGTTGATGTGGTGGTAGATTTGTCGGGTCGTCAAGCCCTGTCCATGCTGCCCAGAAAGGACAGCCAACTGACCATACACCTTAAACCCTACAGTAAACCTAAACGCAGCAACCAAACTCCCCAGTTCCTCTCCCATCCGCAGGCCCAGCCTGCAACGGCTCCGCAGGCCCAGCCTGCAACGGCTGCCAGCGCCAACAGCTATTCCCGTCCCCAGCTGGTTGTCGCTGCCACTGGCAGCCCTAAACCCCCCTACAGCCTAAAACCTCAAAGCTTTAAGCCCTTGAAAACTGGAATTTAAACCCCTAAACCTCTGAACCGTTAAACAGCACATCGCGCTAGCTACTTATATTTGAGATGCTTTCTTGTAGACAGTCCGTAATACGAGCAATCCCCCAATCGACAAGTAATCAACGTCAAAACAACATCAATGTCGGGTTGAACAGCCCTTCCGATTGCTCTTAAATGAACCAAAAGCAGCTAACACACAGCAACCCGATCAGGGCAGCATGAGGGGGTTACATGTTCCCATGGAGCCAGAACTCTGGTTTCGGATATCCCATAGTTTCGCACCGTCCCGTTGCTCTGATGTTCGATGCTCAAGGACACACCGGAACTGCAGGCCACCACCCATTATGCTTACAGAGGCAAAGCTCCATTTTCGGTGTCACAGCGAGCGTGCAATCAACATCGACAATCAACATATGTCGTCATTGCATTTGTCCTTCTCCTACTCAGGCAGCTCACCAAAGCAGCGCGTGCTGCCGAGGCAGCCGCCCATGATGCCGGAGGCATCCTGCAATGCTCACATCGACGTAGGGGTGGTGGGCAGGTCCACAGGAAGATTCGCCCTCTCGAGGCCTCGCCGTCACCGCGGCCGGAGGTGCCGCCCTCGCCGCCTTGGGCGCCGGCAGCCTCCGAGGCCCACGGCGAAGGGATGAAGGCGATGCGGAAGGGGCAGGGGGTTTCGGCTTTTTTCTTCTCGCTGAGGAGGAGGACCTAGACGTTGCCTCGGAGACGGCTTTTCCGGATCCCCCGGAGGCGGCGAAGCTTTGTTCAGGTGAGTAGACATGATGACATGAGAGTCGCCGAGGCGCCTCCGCCCGAATCCCCGTCTCCGGAGCGTCGCCTGGAGCCTCGGCCGGCGTCTCGCTCCTCGAGGCCGACCTCCGCGAAGTCGGCGAAGGCCCGCCTCGCCGCCTCTCCTCTCCTCTCCTCGCTGCCTTGTCCTCGGGGTTCGGAGCATTGCCGCATTCCAAAGTTCAACTTATCTGAGACGTGTCTGTTTAACACTTTCACTTTCCCTCCTTCCCCTTCCCGTGCCTGAGTACCTGTGTCCAGTCGGCGGGATCGGCGTCCTACGACGAAGACTTCGACGACGACGCCGCGTGGAGCGATGTTGGAGGGTCGGCCTTCCGCCCCGAAATCCCGATTCCAGGAGCCCTTTCAGGAGCCCTTTAAAGGATCCTCACAAGGCCACGACGTCACGAGTTACCGTTTTTCAGGATGTGAAGACCTGACGCTTTGAATCGCCGAGGACTTCGAGGAGGAGTCGGATCCGGAGGACGTCTGAGATTTCGGAGCCCTAGAAAACGCCCGCAGCCGGGGGGGTTCCAAGCATAGACCGAATAGACTTAGACGTGAGATTAGGGTTAGGATGCATATTCGTATGCAAAGCCCTCACTCGACTTGGGCTCCCGAACGCTCACTGGGGCCGGAGTGAGGTTTGTGTCTCTGTGTCTCTGTCTGTGTGTTTGTGTGTGTGAGTGCGAGTGTCAGGGTTCAGCTCGTTTGTTTTGCACTTGAACCCGCGGCACGTCCCCGAAAGTGTTCGGCGGGCAATGACCCTCGGACATCTCCGCGGCAGACGAAAAACCCGTTCGCCAGCAGAAGGGGAAAAGTGGGCAGTGCGAGACGCTGATGCGACGATCCGTCCCGTCCGGCGTCCGGCGCAGAGTTTGGCACTTTGTGCCGCAGCCAGATTGGTTCGACAAGGTGACTTCAAGCGCAGCTGTCCAATCTGGCCATGTCGTGCCTTGCGTCCGGCACGCCCTTGCAGCAATACATGAGGTCCCTGCGAAGGCAGCCGGATCCTGGTGGTCCTGGTGGTGGCACGGCGCGCGCGGCGCGTCGATTCCCCATGTTCACAGTGCCCCTGAAAGTGCTGATGAAGATGACGAAGATCGAAGCACACGAAGTTCTCAAAGCACGCGGCGAGCTGGTGGAGTTCGACCAGAGCCAGCAGAGCATGGGCCAGGCTGTGTTTGTCTCACACCAGTGGGTCTCTGTGCATCATCCGGATCCAAAGTTCCAGCAGATGCGCGTCTTGCAAGAAGCTCTAAGCCATGTCCTTGATGATTTGAGGTACATTCCCCTGGACAGCACGTCAGAGACGGCCGTTCCGGGTGCCAAGCCATTGTATGTGACAGAGCTCCGGTCACAGCCCCTCTTCTTCTGGTATGACTATTTTTCGTGCCCTCAGCTGCATGTCAACACGCATCACCTCCTGAATGCAATTGACAGCATCTCTGAGTACGTGGCAGACAGTGCTTTTTTTTTCGCTCTCTGTCCGACCGTGGTAGATCCAAATGGGTCCAGGTTGCTGAGAAGGCCTCGCCTCGTCTGGTAAGTTGTGGACCACAACGCCCCTTGCAGCCCTTGCAATCTGCTGCACGTACAGCACGAAGCGGCTCGTTGCTCTTGGCTAGTGTGCCACAGCCCGATCGCTTCGCCCATGTACTGTGCAGCTGCCGACGACCCGGAGGGAGTCCGGGCTCTTCTGGATGCCAGGTGCAACATCTATCAGCAGAACCTTGTTGCTGTTACTGCGGTGGAAGCTGCTGCTACGGCTCCTTGGCTGCATTGGAGACCAAGCACAGCCTGCACATGGCCATGCTCCACAACGGCTCTGCAGAAATGGCAAAGAAGCTGCTCGACCTCCGAGCAAACGACCAGAGCTTCGATTGGTGCAAGCGCACCGCTTTCGTTCGACTCCTCTGCTCCATTTCACAGCTGCAGCATCGAATGGGCAACGTGTCTCACTTTTCCAGACAGGTTTACCATGCCCAAGGCGCTACGCCCCTCATGTTCGCGCTGCTCTGCTCGCATTACGAAGTTGCTGCAGCGCTCATTGCCGCAGGAGCTCGACTCGACCTCCGCAATTCGCGGGGCTGGACAGCAGCCGACTTCGTGCGGGGGCGGCGGGTGCCAGAATTCTTGACTCTAGCCTTGGCGGGCCTGGAGATGCACGGCACGCCCGGCGTGCCTCAGCCGCCAGAGCAGCTCGAGGACGGCTGGGACGGCTCCGGGGACGGCTATGTCGAGGTCTACTTTTGAGAGCCTGTGAACCTCTCCCTTAGCGATGCGTGAATCACTTCTTCTTCTTCGTGAGGCTATGGGTCCAATGCGGACGCGCCTATTGCACAAATGAATTCTAAGACCGGTGCGGATCCCCAGTTTGCGCTCGCGAACTACTCAGCAGTGCGCGGTGCAGTAATCTGGGCGATCGCACAGTGAGGTGTGCAAGATGCTGTGCATGAAACCGGTAGCACAGAGCTGAAAAACCGTAGCACTAGCAACACTTCACACCCAAAATCAAAAGGATGCCGCACCATAACGTGCGCATGAGCTACACAAGGAGTCGAAATGAAGCTTCAACGTGCAATGCGAAGCAGGCCAACAACTGCGCAGGATATTCCTCATGGGTATGAATGAGGCCATCCCTGCACAACACAACTATGTAACGCCATACCCGAGATGCCGGAACACCTTCTTTGGAGGTGATATATTGACATCATAACAGAAACGCTAAAAGCTTGAGCCTTGTTCCCCATGGGGCAGAGAGGCAAACTGCAAGCTTCAGGCCCCGCATGGCGTATTCAAATGGCCATGCCTGCATGTTCATAGAAGTGCCTTCACACTCGATATGAAGTGCACTGACTGTGAGCCGTACTCAAGAAAACATAGTGGCAATGTACGCGGCTTCCGCTATGCAAAACACTGTCTGGCTCCTTCTCGAAGGCTGAGTTTCACAAACTTTCTCCCAACAGATGCCAACCAGCATGCAGAAGCCGGCAATGGTTGTCCCCAGGCCAGCTCCCACATTGACTAAATCAGCATCCGCAGCGACCACGCTCAGAGAACATGCCACATCCTCGCCGTTATGGCCGATGCCAGCACAGCCCTCACAAGTTCCGCCCCTCTTCTGGACGGAGTCTGCTTGCTTGACGAACCCCTTGACGCAAAACACGTCTAAGACGCACAGAACAAAAGCATTGAAGATGAGACTTCTGCTAAAAGCGATCCCCGCGGTAGTATGTTTGATGAAGATTCCATGTAAGTAGGCATGACCAGCTTGTAAGCACCAGCAGGCCGTCACAGCGCCGAGCGCCCCAAAGTACTCGTTGAGGAAGCTGCCGACGTAAGGCTTCTCATTCCCAGTAGGCCCTGCCTTATCTTGGGACTGCGCCTTGACAGTGTTGAACGTGCCACTTTCCTCAACGTCCAAGGTGAGCGCCAGGATCTTGACAAAGATCTGCATGCCGCCTCGCATGTGCGGCGCCAAGTGAAGGGTCGATTCCTTCTGCAGGTTGTAATCCGAAAGAGTACGGCCGCACTCAAACTGCCTGCCAGCAAAGATCAGGTGCTGCTGGTCGGGCGGGATGCCTGCCTTAATTTGGGACTTCGCATTGACTTTGTCGAACGTGCCACTGGCCTCAACGTCCAACGTAATCGTCTTGCCTGTCAGGGTCTTGTCAAAGATCTGCATGCCGCCTCGCAAGCGCGGCACCAGGCGAAGGCGTGCCTTCCATGGCACTGGGGCTACCGATAGTTCCGCGCTGCTGCGGCCATTCGAGCCCTGCGTGAATCACTATTCTTCTTCTTTTTCTGCAGCGACTGCAGTGCTCTGCGGGATTTCGGGTATCGGCGTCGCGAGATCCTCTTGCAGCCGGAGTGCGGTCCGCCCGAAAAGGAGACTTTCAGGCGTCGGGCCCGGGCCTGCGCTTTTCCAGAGGGCTTAGACCGTTTCTCGTCCTTCACGTCCTTCAGCCTGAATTCCCCCCCCCACCCAAGTGCCCAGGTGTTCGCAGACTGGTATAGTGATAGTGTCTTCTGCGGCAGAGGCTCGGGACAGGCTTCCGCTCTTAATTCCCCTCCAGGCCACTCCGGCCAAATCACACATTGCCTCCTTGGTTGCGCTGCGTTCCAGGAATTTTTGCTCAGAGAGGGTAAGGGCCCGGGCAATGGTTCTGAGATGACCGGGCGACGCGAGGCCAGAGTAGGGGCTCTGGAAGCGCGAGTTGAGTTTGTGCACATGGATCCCTGTTAAGGCGTTCTAAGCTCCAATTTCGAGCCTAGGTCGAGTTTGGCTGCCGGCGATGTCCCTGCTGACGCCGCGATTGGATTGGATACTCGGGTGCCGTCGACTTGGCGTAGCGGTGTTGCTCATGCAGGGATAGAGGCGGCGTGTCCTGCGCACTCCACCGGTGCCGCTCCGGCCTCTGGCCTCCTCCTGCTTCTCGCACCTTCTAGCGATTCTAGCGACGGCCACGAGATCCTCTGGACCGGAGGTGCTGCACGGCAGGAGGCTGCGAATCCCATGGGCAGACGGAGTTCCAGGCGCCTGCTCCCAGCTCGGAAGCACATTTCTCTGTCAGACGAAGCCTGCGATCTCACAAAGTACGTGTGTTCATATTCCTGTGACAAGGGGATCAGCTCTCTTTTTCGGGAGGTTCAGCTGAGCTCGGAGCCCGCCCCGGCGCACGGCGTGCGGGAGCCCAGCCCAGCCAAAAAGCGACTGGAGAGCGCTTCGCTCTTCAGCCGAGCCTTCCTTTGAGGCGAAGCACCTCCTGACCTCCGGGGACCGAGCCGAGCGTTTTGCAGTTTTGCGGGGGGTGGGGAGCGAGTTCTGCGGTTGTGCTTGTTTGGACTGGAGAGGATTCCTTCGACATCACCTTCACACCGCGGCTCTTCGGCACCCAGGGGCTTAGCAGAGCGCTCGGGCCTCGAGGGTTTCGCGCTGAGACCGGAATGCAGTGTGGTGCTAAAGCTAAAGGCGGGTGCTAAAGGCAGTGCTCCCGTGGCGATGGGAGATCCAGGGAGATCCGCCGAGGTCGAATGCTCCCTTCACCCCTCGGCAGCGAGACTTGCAGCTTGGCAGATCTTGGCCTTGGCCGCAACGCCGCATCACTTGCGTGTTTGGAATTCCTTTCCCAGGCGGGCGCAGCTTGAGCTCCCGTCTCTGCAGACGCAGCCTGGCAAAAGTCGCCGAGTTTTGTACAGCAGAGCAAAATTCCGGTGTAAGCGGGGCTGCACGTGAACCCTGCGCGCCGCGCGTTCCTGAAGCCAAGGTATCCAGTGCCCCCCAACCTCGGGCCGGAGACTGCGGAAGAGGCGCAGACGAAAGAGAGGGAGTAAAACAGAGTGGGAAGGGCTGAAGGGCTCGGGCTTGGCCAGGTGCGAAAGGAGAGGCTTCTGGAGATGTACCGGGAGTTCGCCTTGGACCTGCACACAGGCCCCCGGGCCCCGCGGGCCCCCGGCCGGAAGGGTCTCAACAACCGGCGATGCCCCGCCCCCCAGTGTGCAGGCATGTATCTCACACAGCTGACGTCGAATCGAGACTATGCGGACATCCACGTCCAGCTCATGGAGGACTCGCACTCCGCTTCATAGCTCTTTTTTTACCCCTCGTAGGGCCTTCGTTTGGTAGAAGAACACCTTTGTTGGCCCTTACAGCTCCCACAGCAGATTCCTCCCTTCAGACTTAAACCTCATGGTCTGCACTTTGTTCCCCAGTTGCCGCAGGCCTCGCAGTTAGGGACAGCATAGAGTCTAGAAGCCCAGGGACCTCCACTACACGTGCCGAACTCATCTTGCTCACGCTGGTGCCTTGCAAAGCATGTTTTCAGGATTTGACCACCCTCAAGCTGGACCAAAGCAATGGCCGCCGCCTGAGATCTCGAGAAGCTGGGGCTGAAAATCCTCCGGGACGTTGTGCCGCACGTGTCTTGCCATGGGTTCCTGCTCTCCTAAGGCCGCATCATCGAGTTCCCTTTGACCAACGTGTCCAAGGTGTATCGCATCGTCAAGAACGACGACAAGTGGTGTGCGCCTCTGTAGGACCCCTCCAGTTTCTACCTGCCTCCGAACGGCTCTCTTGCAGCACCATTCCGTGTGGGTGCGCTGCTTCTTTTGCATCCCATGGAACTCACCTGCTCTCGGCCATGCCGAGAAGCCTTAGTCCTGACTGTTTCTGCAGGAAAAGGACGAAGGGCTGAAGCTTCCCTTCTTGGTGGATGCCTTTCTCTCCATGCGGCTCTGCTGAGGTATGCTGCTGGGACGCCGCTTCCTCACAGCTCCGCGAATACGGAGGTCAGGAAGGAACATTGCAGGGAGGCGTATTTCGGCCGTGCATCTGTGCCTGTCGTGTGTCAGCAAATCGTGGTGGTGGAGTTCATGCGCCGGAAGTTGGCCTTCGTCTTCAAGGAGCTGCAGGCCCGAGCCCCGAAAAGAGAGAGAGCTGCGCTTTGCCTTCGGCTCTTAAGCGAGGTGTCGCAGCGCTTCTTGATCTGCATGGAGCTGCTGATCCGAAGGGCGCAGCAGAAGCAGGCGGCGCTTCGGGGCCGAGCCGCCCATCCCCCGTCCGGGGCCTCTGGGCGCATCGGCGGGGGTCAAAAACACGTCCTGCAGGCGCTGCGTTCGCTCACGCCCACCTTTCCGCCCCAGCATGCGCAGAGCAGGCGCGCGCGCGAGTGGCTGTAGCAGTTTTAGCGAGTGATGACATTTGTTAGGAGGGGCGGGCTGTTTGCGATACTCTTAAGGTTTTTTTGTTTCGGAGGGTCGGCCGGTCTTTGTGGGTGGCTTCGCAAGCGGCAAAGGCAATGTCCTACGCCGCGCCTCGTCCATGCCGCAAGCTTAGCTGCTCGCTCTGCAGTCTCTAGGATGTTGACACGTGTTGGAGGGTGTGGATTTAATGCCAGATTTCAAGGGCCGCGCTCAAAGTCACTCCCGACCAGGAAGCGAACACTACATCGACAGACAGTAGCACCGCACTGCTGAAGAGTCTTGACACCACGTTCTTTTCCTTCAAACCACGCTGGAGCCCACTGCGCGCGACAACGCTCCCACTGGCATCGCCCGACTTCCACCGCTACCACGACCACCTCCTCCGCCACGACCACGACCACGACCACCACACCCCACCTCTTCTGCTGTGCTCCCACCGCACGACGCGCACTTCTGTCCTGGTGCTGCTGCTGCTGCTGCAACTTAGGGACCGCGCCGCGAAGACTGAGAGAAACACAGCCCCCACACACGCCGTTTAACCGCCCTGTCTCAGGATGCCATGGCAAGGCCTATCCCGAGTCCGCCAGAGAATCTGAAATGAGTTTCACAGAGTTGGGGGCGTCTCAGGAGCCGCAAGGCCGAAAGCCTCAGATGTTAGGTCACCGTGTTGGGAAAAGAGTTCTTGTCGTGGGGTTCATTCATGGCCAAGCGCCGCAGACATGATCATGATGTCGATGTCACGACGTATGTTTTCTGGAGCGGCGAAACCCCCCCATGCTTAGTTGACGTGTTGCCATGTTAACCCAGAGCCCAGCTCTGTTAGAGACCCAAGACCCAACCTCGCAGTCTCAGTCTCACCGCTGGCGCCTGGCCTTGCCCGGCCTTCCCGGCTCCTCGCGCGCTCCTTTCCGGGAGCGCGCTCTGCACGCGATGCTCGGAGAGGCCGTGGCCGGGTCCCTCGGGAGCCCTGGCCCAGGCTGGCCCGAGCTCGGCAACAAAGCTTGCTGCGTCAATGGACCTCCGCGCTTTGAGTGGCAAACGGCGTGGCTTTAGAGTTGGAAAAGCCCGGGAAGAGAGGGAAGAGGGGGCAGGATTTGCCGCCTTTGCCTTTGGCCGCCATTCCCGGCTTTATTTGCATGCTCCGAAGCCACGAGTTGAGTCAGAAACTTAGACCCGACCATCCACTCAAGAGTTGACCCAGAGATCTCACCGGAACCTTCCGCCCTCCCAGCGTTTGCGCCTTCCGCCATGTGGCGATCCCAGCTTCGCTTGGATTGGCACTACAAGTACTGGCAGAGGCCCCCCTGTGCCCTTGTCTCGCCGTGTGCTCCCCTCTGAGATCCCCCCAGCAACGACGCTGCAGGCAAACCGCGGGATACCTGCGAACCTTTGAAAAGAACAACAAGCTGCCGAACAATGAAATGATAGGCGGGGTGCTCACAGCTTGCAGCTTCAAGGCTTCAAGCGGGCATCTTCTCATCTTATGCTTGGCAGCTCCTGAAGGCTACGTCATCAATGACAAGCATCCAAAGTCGATCCGGGTAGCCTGTGACAGGCGCGGGTTGCCGAAGGAACAAGAGTTCCCAAGTTCAGATCGCCCACTCCAACCCACTACCGCGGGCGGGGGGGTGGTGGAGTCCTCAACAGTTGTCGGACTCGCACCCTACGTGGCCCCATGCGCTAATGGTGAATTGCAGCATCACAAACCTTGGGGTCTTGAAGCCTGATCCACATCGGTGCAAGCCTTGGTCCCAGCGTTCTGCAAGAATCTGCTGCGTTTCGCCCTTGACATGTGGGCCATGCCGGCCAGGTACATGTGGGTGATGCGGTACAAGAAAGCTTTCCGCTTCACCAAGAAGGCAAAGCTTTGACAGAGCTCTTAGCTGTTTGGAAAGCAGATTATGACTTGTAAAAGCACAGCGACACACTGCGTCAGCGCAGAAGGCACCAGTTCGAAAGCAGGTGCACCCGCCTGAACACCTCGAAGACAGCGATGAGATTTGCAAAGACTCGGCTCCCGACATCCTCGCGCCCCTGGGTTAGCCTTGGCAGGTTTGGGCTCACGACGAGCACTCCGAGCCCGAGCCCAATGTCTGCGCGAGGGCGGCGAGGGCGGGCTTCGGGATTCTCTCAGGTGCCGTCTAGGCGATGTGGTCCGTGTCCAACCCCTCGGCTACCGACTGGGGCCCTGGAAGACGTGAGCCCGGGCAAGACTGAAGGAGCCGGGTTCGGAGAGCACTAGTAGCAGAACACCGAGTGAGCCAAGTCCCCAGTTCTTTTCTCTCCTCGCGATTCCGAGCTTCGCAAATCCTGCCTCTAGGTACGTGCTGGTGCGGGTTCTCCACCGCGAACCACGTGATGCCGGTGTCTAAGCGAAGCCCCACGTTGGAGAAGCCCAATCGTCGAACAACAAAGTCACGCGTGGCAGCAACCCGCGCTCGCCGAAGCCCAGGACATCCTCGCACCGCGGGGTTCGGAGAAGCGAAATCTGCTGCTCCAAAGCAGGCACCTGGGGCTGGCAGGGTTCAGGGTTGTCTCCATCATCAAGAAATGCTGTGGCTTGCTATTATTATTATTATCATCATGATCACGATGATCTTCGTCATCATAATCATCATGATGGTGACTATGAAGCCTGCTGCTGCTGCTGATGACGATGGTATCGAAAGCATCAAGCCGCAGTGGTTCTGGCACCCTGATCATGACAGTCTTGATCGGCATAGCTATCGTACCTTGACCGCCAGATGCATCAGATCTAAGGTTCAGGGGTTGTTTAGGGTTTAGGGGGTTAAGGGGTTTAAGGTTTAGGGGTTAGTATTTGCTCAGAATTGCTCAACCATCACAAAATTATTACGTCGCAGATTCCTGATACTCATGATAACTCATGATATGAATCAGAGTAAGCGTCGTGGACGACTGCCGCTGCAGTTTGCTTCAGCTGCTTCGTCCCAGTGGCAGTGCTGCCACTATGACTACAACAACGACAACAAATACCCCTTTTGCCAGTACTATTGCTGCCTACTCGAGGAGGACCAACCATACAAGTAGCCGAGGGCTCGAGAAAAACAAAGCTCATACTGATGACACAGTACTTTCAGTCATGCTTCCATGAGCAGGACGAACGTGGAGGATCCGCTCGAGCAGACGGAGTAGCATTGCGGAAAAACGAGTGCAAGGTATCCAGCACCAGCAGCAGCTGCAGCCGGCGCCGCCGCCACAGCAACAGCAGCAGCAATTACAGCAGCAACAACACTACCACCCACCACAATGCCACCAACAGCAACACCACAGCATTAGCAGTAAGAGGAGCAAGAAGAAATAGCAGCAACAAGTACGACAATCATCTTGCTAGGTGACGAGGACGCCTTCGGTGGAGCTCAGCTCTTGCACAGCGAGCGGGAAAGGAAAGAGACAGGGTTTTTGATCGATGGCTCACAGCCAATGATGACCACCGCATGCAGGAATTATCCCTGTACGGTAACTTTACGTCTCACAGGATCAGCATGCTTGAGTCCTAGCACCATGTCAGCAAGAGCCAGGGACCGAAGCACCAGCCGGTCCAGAGCCACGAGGCTCCCAAACCCAGGCCAACACCCCCGAGCCTCGAGCCATCCCCGAGCCTGGGGCAAAGCGCCGGCCATGCCGGGCTCGCTGCTTGGCGCCGTTTGCTCGCACCTCCAGTCCTCAGGCAGGGCTGATCAAAGGCTCTGTGGGGCTGTGGGGGAGTTTCGCAGTGCGAGGTGAGTCCGAGCCAATGCTGGCCGGCTGGGCGTGGGCGCCCACGTCACGACGGAGGGCCACGGCATTCCAGGTAGCAGGGACCCCAGCGGTAAGAGGGCTCTGGGGAGCAGGGGATTCGTCTAGGCGGTGCGTAGAAGTAGAAGCAGGTGGTTCGTCATTGCTATCCGTTAATGTGTGCTGTCCTTAAGTTGCCACTACCTCCCCAACCCCGCGCCACTGCCGCCGCAACAGCCGCCGCCACCACCAGCATCCATCCTAGGACACCCCCCGTCCCTTGCTCTGGCCAGGGGGGGAATGCGTACGACCACACCCACACAAAACGACTTGGGAAGCATGCACCACCACTCCGCCGGCCTTAGCAGGGAACATGCGACACTGAAGCCAAAATGACAGTCGTTTCAATGGAGGCCTCCCTCTGAACACGGAAAGGTTGGGACTCTGGGAATAGCGTGAGAATGTGCACCTGGCCGCAGTTGGAGCTGGTCTGTAGGAAGCAGAAACGGGCCATTCCCAGAAAATCCTGCATCAATTCTCCACCATACTATTACTGCTGTTCTTGCTCCCGCTCCTCCTGCTGCTGCCTCTTCTACTACTGACGGTGATGACGAAGAAGATAGTCAGGATATTGACATTGACGATGACGACGACGACGATGCTGATGCTGATGCTGTTCTCATGCTGATGCTGACAAAAGTGTTGCTGAAGCTGAGCTGATGCCGTGGTGCTGCTGATGGCGGCGACATGCGGCGACATTGATGCTGATGATATTGCTGAGTATATCTGAGGATGGTGAAGGTGGTGGTGATGATGATGTTCATCATCATCATGATGATCATGATCATGTCCATGATGATCATCATGATCGTCGTCATCATCATCATCATCAAGATGCTGCTGCCGATCTTGCTGCCCCTGTCGATGAGAATCGCTGCAACGAGGATAACGATCGTACTCACGGCGCTAGGGCCAACTACCAGGTGGTGACTAGAAAACCAAGACACCTTGCCTCTGAGAAAGCACACTGATCCACGGCAAACGTGGGGCACATGTCAGGTGTGAGCAGCCACAAGCTCCTGTAGGAGGGGTCAGCAAAGTCTGTCCGAACGCGTCTGGGTTCATACGAGGCCAAGGGCTACTTCGATGACATGGCCGTGTTCAACAAGCTGCTGGGCTCCACAGAGATCTCCTCCGGAGCCGGGAATGCGGGGACTCCGTGAGAGCATCGCAGGTTTGGGCACGAGATCAGCAAGCCGAAGCTGCGGCCCGGTGGTGCAGACACCACGCCGGACTGCCAGAAGGCCCAATCTGGCTGCAAGAGCGAGGCATTTTCCAATATCTGACCTCTTCCTCTTGCAATCTCTCAGCATCATTCGCTCGAGCTCATACTTGCTGATAATGAGAGCCAGGAGCAAAAACTCAAATCTCGTTGCTACCCCAAAACTGCCGCAAGCACACGGGGCGCCCCTGTTGGGCTCGTCTTTGTCAGTAGATATTGGGTTGCTTCGGTGTTGATATGGACACGACCCATTCCAGCAACTGTGGTGCATCAAGCAGCTTCATGAGACTGGAGACAGAAAGGAACGGAGAGCAAAATTGAGAGCTCGTCTTTATCATAATATGCAGGGGTGTTCTGGTTTGCTTCGGTGTTGATATCGGGGGACGACCCATTTCAGCAACTGTTGTGCGGGTGGCGTCAAGCAGCTTCATGGGGAGACGCCAAATCATGGATGTTTCTTGTCTGCCTTCTGCGAGGCAAGAAACCATTGCTCGCAAGCATGAAACCTGAATCAACACCCCTCCGTTCCCCGACAACAAGCTTGCATTCACCACGCGGACGTCGATGATATCAGTGGCAATGATTGGCAATGATGAGCCCTAAGTTCGCATGACGAGTATCGATCGGTGTTTCGTGTTGATCAAGAAGCCTGAAGCCCTAGAGGAGGACCGACTCCTGACCAAGCGGCAGCAGAGGCTGGACAGGGACTTGGAGTCTTGACCAAAGTGTTTTGGCTTCTTTCCTACCCGACCCCCCTCTCCCTGTTGGGAGTCTGATGCTTTTGAAGCACATCGATTAGGCGAAGTGTATCTACATCTGAGGAAAACTTGCGCAAGCAGTTTGAGCCGAAGCTCATCACTGCTGCAGATGCTCGGTGAGTATGCGGCGCGTTTGTTTGCATGAACTCGCTTTAGAGCAAAACCGTACATCCTAGTAATCACGTGGTAGGGGAGCATACGGCTCAACCGCCGTAGCAAGCTTGCCAGAACACAATATGTTATCAGCAAGAGGGCGGAGACCTGAACCTTGCACCGAAAGCCTTAAACCAAGTTCAGACTGTTATTCTGTGGATAGTCCAATAATAAAAGATGATAAAAGATCCTACCATGAAATCTCGTAGACAATATCTTCACTACGTTTAGGGCCTGTGGTCCTTGATCTACTATCCCTGAGTCTGGAAGAAGTTGAGATTGCTGCGATGCCCAGGACATCGACGGCGAAGATCCGCTGAAGGCCGCCATCGCAGAGCCCCCAAACTTCTTCAAGGCCATGGGGGCAGCGGGCAGCTTGGGCCTTGTCGAAGCCTCGCTGTTTTCTTTCTGGATGCTTGGCTTGGAAGCGTGTTCTTGGCCCGAGCCGAAGTCCTGTGGAGGCCGGGGTGAACGTCCAGGTCATGAACCCGGAGAGACCGAACTCGGAGCTCCTGGCCTGCCTGAAGGACCCCAGACCTCAGACAGGGTACAGCCGAGCTGTCTTAAGCGGAACCCGCCATGATGGCTGTGGCCTTTCAGGAGGAAGGTGGCAAATTCGAGCTTTGCGAACAGAAGGAGCTGGGTCTTGGGGGCATCGCAAGTTGATGCCGCTTTCTGGAGTGACGACTTTACAGGAGCTCGGGGAGGACGGCCATGACCTTGCCTGCGACACGGAGCGCGGGGAGGACTTCCACTGGCGGGAGGCGCGGCGCTGGCTTGAGCCGCCCCAGCATTGACATGCACCCAAGCCGAAGCGAAAGCATTGCTGCGCCAGGGCGACACTGTGAAGTTCTTAGGCACCTGCATCGAGCCGAAAGCCCTGAAGAAGGCTCGGCTGGCGGCTACAAATTTCCAAGGGCGGGGGCTCAGGGGAGCCGGGAAGAGAAGCCCAGGCGTTGCTCTCCGCCGAGACGCCCTACCTCCACTGCGTCTACCCGGACGGAGAGGTGCCCGGAGAGGAGCCGAAGCCCGGAGAGGAGGCCGGCGAGGCGGCCGGCGAGGCGGCCGGCGAGGCGGCCCCGCCAGCCGTGTAAGTCCCGTTTTCCCTGCAGGCGCCTGGCTTAAAGTTGGCCAGGGCCAGCGAGAGTTGATGGCGATTCAAAAGGACACCCTGTCCCGGGTTCTGCTCACAACGAACCAAGCGCCAGGCAGCTTGAGTGCCGGAGTTAGCGTGTTTTTTTTTGAACGAGTGCTTGGTTTGGCTTCGCTTTTTCCGGGAGCAGGAGCGCTTGTAGTGCAGATTTCGGCTCAGCTGACTTTGGAGTTGCGCTCTGTCGGCGACTGCCTGCGCCATGTCGAGGCTTGACCTGTGCACTTTGTAGTTTGGGGAGTTTCAACTTCTGTGGTGTGCCCATGATGTTTAGCAATTGGCATGAGCATGAGAATGTGATTTCATGCAGGTGTTCCCAATTACAGTGTGAGCTTTAAAGAGTTTGACTGGAGTTCGAACCAGCCATGTGTGAGAGGTCACAGTCAGCAACGCTTTCAACGCACTCAACATCCGAAGCCTAGAAGCTTTTTTGCATCTGCGACACCCCAAACTCCATGGCTCTTGAGTTGTTTGTTTCTTCGATATGTCTTTGTGCTATGTGCGATATGTTCCAGGCTAGCTATGCCCAAATAGCATCCTGAGTTCAGCATTATTTTGTATGTCAGTCGTACCTTTTCCGTGCTGTCAAGTGACTGTTGCCATAATTTTGTGTGGGCTGCCCGTTCCACATTGGTTGTTAAGGTCTCGGGTTACGCTTTCCCAGCCTTGTGATCCTGACGTGTTCAGCGTGCGCCCTTCCGAACGGAAAGGTGGGGCTTTCCGGGCCGCGCTTCGCACGTTCCTTTGTTTAAGATACTCGTTCTGTGGTGGCCATCGCAGAGAGGGGGACAGAAGGAGACATCATGTAGTCTAGAGCTTCAGATGTTTTTGCCACGCTGAGACTTTTTGCCAGATCCTGATCCCATGGAGCGATTGCTGAGACGGTCGCATCTTGACGGGAAGTTTCAAGCTCACGCAGCACGTATTACCAGTACTGTTACTGCTACGACGACTACAATTACCACTACTACTGCTATTACTACTACTACTACTACTACTACTACTACTACTACTACTACTACTACTACTACTACTACTACTACTACTACTACTACTACTACTACATACTACTACTAATACTACTACTGCTACTACTACTACTACTACTACTACCACCACCACCACCGCCACCACCACTACTAACCCTGGATGAGATTTCCTAGCGCATCTTCTTATGCTGCATTCCAGACTTTTAGCCAAAATTAATATGATCTTGTGTTCACGCAACTGCAGTCTTAGTGGATGTTGAGACACTAGCCTTGGCTTTCCCATTTCACCGCTTTTTAGCTTGGCCACGTGCTTCAGAAGAGGAAGCGCTGAAACCCACGGAAAACGAACGTCGCATTGCATGCAGGTCCTTTTGGTGGGTCCTTTGGTGTTTGTTGTTTGTGTGTGCAATATGCTGCCCGTACTCCCACCCGACTCTTTGGCTTGCAGGCTGTGAGTTGAAGCAAGTGGGGAGGGCCGAGGAGCTTCGCGAAGCTGCCGCTGCAGGCTCCAGCTGGAAGCCTTAGAAGCCTTAGAAGCCTTGGAAGCCTCCGAGCCTTTCGCATCCAACTCCCGAATTTCAAGCTGTGCAGCTTCAGCCCTGAGAGTCTCGGGAGCGAGCAGCAGCGATCAGCAGCGATGCGCAGCAGAGCTTTCCTCCTGGCCCTGGCGAGCGCCGGAGAGGCCCCCGGACGTGACCGGCAGATTCTCACGGCGCGGCTTTCTGTCTCTCGCGCGAGGTGGTTTGGGGGGAGTTGCCCAAGATCGGCAAGAAGTGGTGGGTCCTGGGCCCTTTTGCGTCCGGCAAGGTCGAGTATGAAGCAGAGCCGCGGTTGAATTCAGATAACTTTCAGGCTCCGAGTGTGATGCAACTGCCACCTTAGGGGCCTGGGGATTCGCACCCGTCGTCCTCACCTAGGACCCAGTGGAACGGCTCGGAGGAGTCTGGCAGCTTTTTGGCTCCCGTGGCCTGGCAGAGCGGGGTCGACGACAGCTTGAAGTTTCGTATTCTCCGTCCGTCTGCCAAGGAAAGGCGGGTGTCGGGCTGCTGGCCGAGCACGCTACCGGAGGTGCAACTCAGACCCGCTGCGCTGTGCGCTGCTGTGCTGTGCTTCGCTGATGTCAGCTCTGCAGCGAGAGAGCAGAGCAGAGCAGAGTTGGAGCCGCCTTGCAGTTTGGGAGGCCGCGTGTCCTGGAGATGGGCCGAGACCTTGAGCAGCACGACTGCCATGGCCATGCGGCACCGCCACCGATTTCTCTAATCGCCTGAATTCCTTGCCGCTCCCGTTTTTCAGGGTTCATGTTTAGGGGGAGGGGGGGGGGTCCTGCGTCTCTGCCCGCTTCTGAGCCCTGAAGCAACTCGAAGTCCCGTGACGTGTCCTACCACTACCAGTTCTTGAGCCGAGGTGGTGACGGGTGGGCACAGATCCAGCGCCCCGGATGCGTCATAGGTCTCGCGGCACAGTCGCCCTCGACTGCGACTGTCAGTGAGTGTCCTCCCCGAAAGAAGGCCTCAAACCTTAAAGCAGAGCATTGCTTATTCAGTTTGCCGAGGGTGTTTCTCGTTCGTGCCTTTACTTTGCCCGTCACAACCACATGTCCTTCCCTCTCTGTCTGTCTGTCTCTGTCTCTCTGCTGCAACTGCAGGCTGCCGCATGACCACATCCCCTTCCAGCAGCTGTTGCAGAGCCCTCCTCTGGGGTCGGGCAGCGACGTGCTCCACGTCCAGCCGGGCCCTCAGACGATTTGGAGGCCGAGGTCAGAGGAACTCCGACTTGCAGAACCGTGGGTTGTCTACTGCTTGCGATTTTGGCACGACGCTCCTTCCTGGTTGAGGCGCTCAAACACAGCGAAGAAATAGGGTCAAACGATCGAAGCACATCGGACCGATGGAGACCATTCGGGTGGAGAGGCGAGCATACAACTTAGCACCCACAAGCTCGAAGCTCACCAATGTCAGCAGTGCGACAACACCGGAAGAACGCACGCGTACAAGTGCGGTGTGCTCTTTGCTCGGCATCTTCTTCCTACGCAGTTCACAGCTGACGAGTTTGAGAAGAGGACTAGGGGCAAGATCCTAGTCCTAGTGGCACTTCAGACCTTGATCCCAGGTACTGGGTTGTCGGGGCGCTGAAGGTGAAAACTCCGGGGCGCTTCGGAGTGAACTGCCGCGGGAGCCTTGGCTGTGAGGTAGGGTCGTCGTAGAGCTTGCGACCTCGCTGCTGCTATTGTTGCTTCTGCTGCTGCTGACTCTCCTGCCACGACTACGATTACTTATGAACTACGAGTGCCAAGAGGACGACGACGAGCCATCACAGCCAGCACAGCACAACCAACGCTGGCACCACGAGCACTGCAGCACCAGCACAGCACCATGATCATTGCATAATTGGCCCGCTCCTCCTCCCACTCCTTCTCATCTTCATCGCCATCACTAGTATCACCTTCACCGTCTTCGGAACGATGGTCGTCGCATCCCCTCCAGCACGGCTGGCACCACCATGATCACCGCCACTAGTGATCACTGCCATCGTCACCATCACCACCTCTGCGCGCGTTTATCATGAAAAAGCCATCAAGCAACGGCGCTGGACGGCCTTCGGCACCGCACCTGCTGCCTCTAAGTGTGCAGCCGAAGAGCCCGTCGAATGTTCGCGCAACCTCCGGAACAGCACGAAGCAATCTAAGGCTTCACACCTTCCACATTGTCTTGCCGCAGGACGAGCAGGTCGGAGGAAGCTTTGGTTCCTGTGTCGAGTCGGAGGGCCATGCAACACGAACATCTTTGGGACTTGACGAGCACAAACCTATCCAACCCTGCGGTGAGCGCCTCGAAGGTCGTGGGCCCCTTTGCAGGGAACATCTACAGCAGCACCCCCTTCACTGTCCCCGTCGACTTCGAGGCTGTGTTCTTGTCCTTTCCTTGACCGCAAGTCTGCGAAGTCGAAGGTCAACAGAGTTCTTTCGCCCAAGCCCCGTTGAGGCACCTGGGACCTACCACTTGCTTTCCCGAGTTCGTGGGAAGGCCTTGAAATGCAGTGATCCGCATGTCCACCATTGACCTCCTCTTCACTTTCCTTCAAACAGCTTTCAGGGGTATCAAACAGCTCCTGCAAAGACACAGCATCTACTCCAGTCGCGCACGCATTGAATGCTACATCCTGCCCTCGATGCCGCGATTGCCGTTGGTTCTCCACTTCTCCTTCAACGCTTTCTTTGGCAGTCGTGCCTGCGCAATCACGCCAGACGTTCGTTGCTGATCCTCAGAAACAGGGTTGCCGACCTTTCATCCTTGATGCCTTCGTGCCGCATATCGAAGCAGTAAATCTCTCGAGTCTCTTCTGAATTGACGTCTGAAGGTTCAAAGGGCCGCCGTGCCAAGTGCAGAAACTTCATGGAGCAATATCAGAACAGGAGCAAAAAGCGCACGGAGTTGGACAAGATCATCACAGGGGCTCGTCGGAAGGGAGAGAAGCGATTGCTTTGCTGCATCTGGGCACAGGTCCCTTTGCGATTTGCGTGCCGGCTGGAGACTCTCACGACCCTGTGCCTCGGCCGTCTGCTTCGGCAACAGGGAGGGGGCACGTAGTGACGTAGTGTGGATGGGCGCTGAGGAAGGGCACCATCCAGGCCAAGAACCTCCCGGATGTTGTCGGAGGCAAGCTGCTGGTCAGCCCCGCTCCCATCGACCTGCGGGTGCAGAACACCGGCGTCTTGCCGGAAGAGTCGCCGCCTGCTTTCCTCACGTCGCCACTTTCATTCTTCATGCTGCTGCCGCTTGTCCTTTGCGCAGAAGAAGGACATGAAGAAAGGTGACCCTCTGCACGCTCTGCTCTTGAGCTTAGGAGCCTCCTGGCTGGATGTCAGAGCTGAAGTGGCTCCGAGCCGGTCGTACCTCGGAGACAGAGTTTTTACAGAGGAGTCGCTGTTGAGCCACGACAGTGTGACTTTAGATGA